CTGTAAGAGTAGCTGCTGTTTGGACGCAGCAGCCTCTGACACGCTGCATCTCAATCCCCAGGTGGAAGGCTGCATTTTATCACTTTTTTTAATTTATTAAAATAATTTATAACTGGACTCAACTCCCCAGAATAAATTCAGGGAACTTCTGAGTGAAAAGAAGGGATTTCACTTGTAATTGACAACAATAACATTATAACTGTGTATAAAAAACAAGAGAATATAAGCACAGGAGGGTCCAGTACATACGACTGCCATCAATGAAGGTAGATGTTGTAGGCAAAGAAACTTCTTGTACTTTGGGTGAAGCAATGGCAACAGGCGGCTGGTTAACTCTGACTGCTGTGAGAAAGATGAGAGGAAAAGGGAAAAAAAAAAAAGAAAGAAAAAAGAAGAGAGTAGTGAAAGCCTAGGTCAAATTAATATGTTGACTCTACAGATCAATAGTCCCCAGTGATTTAAATGTAGGATTGACAGCTTTGCAGCAGCATCTGCTTGTCCTTTTTAGGCAAGGGGGAAAAAAGATTGCTGAAGAACAGTGCACTGATGCAGCAGTCTTCTGCTGCAGCCACTTCTAACTGGTATAATTCAGATTAGACCTGTGCACTGTAACTTGCAGCTAGAGCTGGTTCAGCACGTAATTGCTGTTCCCAGCTGTACTGGAGAAGGAGACCATAAAAGGTGGCACGATGCTATCTCAGGCCTTGCCTGAGGAGGGTACAAGACCAGAAAGCATTTAAACACAATGAGCCAGCAACTCTACTTCCTTAAAATGTTTTATAGACACCAAGATAGGCAACATCTCTGCACAACTGGACTACCAGATGCCCTTGGCAGACAGTAAGTGACAGGCTATTAGATAAACATGTTGTACAACTACCTGTGTTAAAGAAATTAATTTCATTATTTTAGCCAACCGATTTACCTGGTTTGACTGTGACATTTACAAAACCTTCGCCAAAGGCACTTTCACCAGAAACCGTCACTTTGAAGGCATAAAGTCCCACCGATAACTGAGACAAACACAGAACAAATTGGGTTACATGTCAAATTATACAAAAGCAGTATGCATAGATCTGCCAGTCATGTTGTAAACAGAAAAACCTGGGTATCTGAATCTTTTCAGATCTTTTATAAATACATACACAAAAGTCACTACCCAGAAGTGAGGAATATAAAGCCAAAATTTAGGAGTTTTTACTCTACCTTAGAAAATTATTAGAGCACTCTAAAAAAGAACACTTCTAATCTGGCAAAGATTTGGTGACACATGCAAGCAGAGAGACTCCCTGAGTCAAGATGCCCTTCCCCACCTGTTATATTTGAAAAGACCACAGAAACACACTGAGCCTGAGCTTACAGCTCACTTACATGAGAGAGCTTCAAGGTCTGGCTGTGCCTGCGCTCCATTTCACCACCATAGTCAGCAGGGTGACTGATTAAGCTCCACTCATAGGTGTAGGCTGTTTCTAAGAGCAGTAACACAGCATAACAGTAATCAGCTTTACCTTCAAAATAAGTCCAGGAAACAAAGAAATCAAGTTCACTATCCATCAGATCAAATGCTACAGCAGGAAATCATGACTGCTACTGGTTAAGTCTGCAAAATGAAGCAGTATGAATACATGTTACATTTCCACAGTGATTTGTAACTTGGTAAAGCAGCAAGTATATAATGGACTTCACAAAATCCAGCTTCATGTGAAATTAATGTGTTTTACATACCTGTGAAATACGTATTCCTTGCTGCTGCAGTTCAGAAGCTGGTAGTTTTAAGGTAAATGCTGCATTCAGAAGCTACTTCCTCCTTCCATTTATAGCAAGATACTACAACCTGAGTCACTTAATCTTTTGTTAGAAACTACAGACATTCTATTAAACCATCTGGCTAATGAGTCCAGGTTCTGAAAATAAAAGCCACTTAAAAAAAAATAAAATAGATAAACCTCCAAAATCAAAAGGAGGAAATCCCCCCCCTGCAGTTGGAGCCACCAAAAAAAATAAGTGTCAACAGGAGATGAGAAGGATGGTTTTACTCTGAGACATTCACCTAAATCAGGACTCGTGTGCATTTACAGGTTGGTAGTACATGCATCTCCTTGTATGCCAAGGCCGTTCAACTCACCTGTAGGTGGTGGTGGGACAACAAAGGCATTCAGTTCAACCTCATTTTTGGGTAGCATCACTTGTATGTTATCTCCAGCAGACACAATAAGCTCTTTTACTGTACCTAAGACAGAATGAGTACATTATGTTTTAACAGATGTGTAGATTAAAATTCAGTATCCTCAGGCATTACTTGTAATGGATTAAATAAAATTTGACAAACACTCTACAATGAACAGGTAAGGATAAGTAAAAATATAAGAATTCCTCAATATGTAATCTATTATAAACATGACTATGGCTCCTTCACCTTTTATCAAATCAAAATTTTTCTTCTTCCCCAAATACGAAGCTTCATATCGCCTACTTCTGTTTAGGGAAAAGCATTCTGATTACTCCTGTATATCACAGGTAACATTGCTCCACATAAAGAATTAAACATTTTTCCTGGATGGAAGTGCAGGAATTAAAAAAATACACAATTACAGAGGACAAGAAAAGCCATTTGCACCAGAACAAAACTCATTAAATAAAGTAACATAGTCCAAACAAGAACTGTAGTGCCTCACCAAGAAGCACCACTTTGTGTTTGTGTGGCACAACCTCAATGTCCAGCTCAGTGTCCCTTTTAAGAATTCCCCTTGCATAGCAGGGCAAAGGTCTTAATTACATAGGCTGAATGTGCAGTTCAGCTATTTGCCATCCAAGAACACCCTCCCAATTCTCATCTGTGAAAACTCTTTCCTCTTCCAAAAATGAAAAGTCCACAAATCCAGTCCCCAACAGAAACATACCAAAGCACAACTCCAGGAAAGGTTCCCACAGACCTGTATTTCAAAGTTTTAAATGTCTTCCTGTTAATACTGGCAATCCACAGAATAGAGGTTCTGCAAAGGCAACGTTCACTACTGTCTAAATGTCCAGCTTACAAATTCTGAATAGATGAGCAAGAGGCTACTCAGCAGTGGCAGCTGACAGGTGGCCACTATAAAAATGGATGGAAGAGCCCACACTGCTAGCACACTTTCTGTCACTGCTACTTTAATGCGCCCAAACCTCCACAATTGCTCATGGGAGTAGCCCTAGACACCAGTGGAGTGGATGTCTGTATTTGGAGCTCCACATGAGACGAGAATAAAATGGCTAGATGAGGGTGATGACCAAGAGAGAAGTCTTCCAGACTTCTAAGACAGTAGGGCTGAGAACACACAAATGTGAGGTATTCCTTGCACAAAGCAGTACTTACGTTGAGATTCATCACAAACTTCCCTTCAGCTTCTTCTTCCAATCTCCTTTTTGAGTCCTCTTCAACCTCCTCCTTTGAAGGAGGATGAGGAGCTGCCTAGTCAACACTCAGTGGTAATGATCCATTGCCTTGGAGTGGGATCTCTTGCAGCTCATCTCTTCCTGTTACCTCCTACTGCTATCCTGGCTGGCAGGTTGCAGTTTGGCAGAGGGTGCCAAGAATGTCCCAAACAACACTTGCTCTACCAGGAAGCAAAGGGCTTAACTCTCCTTATCCCTTAGTATACCAGAGGGCCAAAGACCTCTTCTCTGCTACTCATGGCACTTCTAACCATTTGTCAGGATGCACAGGGAGGTGGGAAACTCAGCAGGAGAAAGGAGGTACTCTAACACACACACAGAGGTATAACGCAACTACTGAGAACATAGTGGTTATACATGCCTTTTTCAAACTAAAAGCGTTTGCTCTGCAGATGGAAGTCTGATAAACTTCCTCACAGCTTTGAAATTAGAGCAAAACTTCTTTTCCCCAGTATGAGGGGGCCAGGTTCTCCCCTACTACAGGCTAGGCTTCTCCCCTATTAAGAGTTGAGCTTCCTCAGGTCCCACCTATGTTCTTGCATGATACCTGACAACTATATATAGTGAGAACCCTACTCAAGAGTTTGAGGGAGCAATGTTCTCAAGAGTCACATAAAAATAACAGTATGGCTAGAAGAGACTATTCCAAAACTCCAGAAAGCCTCAATTATTTCTCACCAAGTATAAAAATTAATCCATTTTAAAAAGTCTTTTAATCTCTGCTTTTACTTTGCTGTATTTGCTTGAATTATAATTTCCCACTAACAATGGTCTTGGTCAGAGTTTTGCCTCAGAAGTAAGTGGCTAAGAGGTCTGAAGTTTGCAGTGTTACTGTAGGTCTCAGATCTCCAGCTACATTAAAACATTACCTGCTTTAGCAACAGTAACGGGTGGTGTGAATTGCTGCATGGGCTCAGGCGGCAAGGTATTAGTGAGAAGTAGCACGATTGCACCTTCAGTGCCATTCTCTGGGGCCATTGTGGGAGGCTGGGTTTTCTCTGACACACCTGGGGAGAAATCCAGTTTGTCTGAAGAAGGAGAAGGTGTAGCAGCCTGAAAAATGAATTACAGGGAAAGAATTGTCATAAATGAGCCAATTTTCACATTTCTAGATTTAGAGGTATGCTGTTTTTTAAATAGCATGTAGGGTGAGCTTATTGATACATGTTACTAGGAGGTTTTATTCATATACAGAACATCTATTATAGGAGGACTGTTTGATTAGGGTTTTTTGTGATTTGTTTTGTTCCCTCCTTCTCCACCCCCAACAGTTTTTCTAAGAAATGCTCATAATTTTCTGAATTTCAGATGCAGAACAGTGTAGGCTATGGTTATCAAAATGAGGTAACCTGCAACACAACTAAGGCTATCAGTTCTCAAGGCAACAAAGAACAGTAGGACAGCTCTAAATATAGTCATAAACCTTTAAAACCCAATGACAGAAATACTCACCTGTGTGGTGAGTATTATTGTCTTCATGCTGTACACACAAACATAACAGAATCCTTGCCTCTTACTACATCTGCTCAGCAAAGAACTTCCTTATGCCTTCTTGTTTCCTCACTACTAATAAAACACCCTAAATCTCTCTACTTCAGTCACCAAGCTGTAGTAGTGTCCTCTCTCACCCAACTTATAGTAAATCAGAACTTCAGCAAAGAACACAGCAAGTTTTGCAGGAATAACTTGGCACTGTGCTAGCCTTGCATATCACCTTTCAATGACAGAGCCTCAAAGGGCCAATGGTTTCTCCTTACCTTCTCAAGACATATTTCTGACCTAACACCTAGAGAAAAGCATTTTGCTAATTATGGCTGCTATGTGTGGCACATGAAGACATAAAATACTGCTATTATTTGTACATAATCTGTTAACTGAAGAATATGATTATGAAGGTTGTTATAATGCACACTTGTATCACAGAATGGCTGAGGTGGGAAGGGACCTCTAGAGATAGCCTGGACGAACTCTGCTCCTCAAAGCGTCAGCTACATCAGGCTGCACAGGACCATGTCCAGTCAGGTTTTCAATATCTCCAAGGACAGAGAGTCCACAACCTCTGGAAAACCTGTTCCAATGTTTCACCATCCTCACGAGAATAAAATAAATAGAATTGCCACTTGTTCTGTCACTGGACAGCACTGAAAAGAGCTCATCTCCATCATCTTCACTCCTGTCATGGTTATTTATACACAATGGTAAGACAGCCCTGAACCCTCTCTGATCAAGGCTGAAGAGTCCCGGCTCCCAGCTTCTCTTCAGTTGCTCCACTTAGATTCTGCAGTCTGTTGCCTTCCTAGGAAATCAGAGTAGCTCTGCCTTGGATGTGGACAGGAAGAAAAGCTCCCTGTGCAGCTGGGAGCACCAAAGTGATGTCAAGGACTGGTGCTCCCCAGCCTGCAAGGAAACAGCACATGGAAGTCATCTGCAACTTCATCTCTGTCTTCAGTTAAAGACAGAGAGAAAAAATCCCTATGCAGCTGGGACAGTGACAGGAGTGTTGGGGACTGTGGCTGCCTGCCCTGTGAGGATGCAAAGGACCACATCAAGAGCTGCACCTCCAGATGGGTCTGTAGAAAAGACAATGCAAGCACCTTTGTGGCCATATCTCCAGCTCTGCCCAATATGCAGAGTGAGATGATGTCTCTGAGCAGCTGGGACACTGACAACAAGATCAGGGACTGCAGCTCCCCTAAGGCAGTGCTTCCGGCATGCCAAACCTATGCCCTCAGCTGGAATCTCACCCTTGACAACATTATCACAGATGGTAAGAGCCTCAAGCCAGTCCTGCCTCATACCTTGACAAAAGGCAGCTCTCCTTTACATACTCACTCTATAAACACATCTTCCAAAAAGATCTGCTTTACCACACTTCAGCAATCCAAAGCATTTCTTTGCTTGCCAAATTTGAGGGATATCTACTTTTCTGAGTTCCCCCTGGCTTTCCTCCTCTCATGGCCCTTTTCCAGTCTATCAGCTGAGAAGGAGCCATCCTGACTTTGTGGGACAGATGGAGACAAAGTCACCTCAAACATACGTTTCCTGGGACACTGTCTTCTGCAATGGCACCGAGCATCTCTTCAATTGGCAAGCCTAGGCAAGACTCTGCAGTCAAAAAAGCTGCCCTGTGGCACTGTCACATCTAAAGCAGTGTCACAGCCAAAAAGACAGCTTAAATTAAGAACCTTAGCAGGCAGCAGTGGGGCAGGGGCAATACCAGGAATTGAGTTCTCAGGCAGAAACTATTGTTGAGAGATATGACAAAGCAGATGTAGAGAGCAAAATTAACCCAAATTCTAGCTTGGGAACCAAAAGGAGAAGGAAAGAAAAGAAATGACTCTTTCTTGGAGTGAGTAGGGTAGGCAATTCTGTTGGTATGTGCTTTGTGCGGTTTTTGTTTGCTTTTACCCACCTGTACAGCCACAACCTGCTTGTTACAAATAAACACACCACCCATGAAGGTTCACGTCCTTCAGTTCCTAGTGTTTAATTTGAGTGTAAATCTCTTGAGAACTCCCACAGAAAACAAGAACACCCCCACAATGCAATGGAAAGAAAGGAGGGGGAAAAAAATCAAAAAATAATAATTAAAAAAAAAAAAAAATCAAAATAAAAAGGTCATTTAGTTCCCTGAGAAACATTTCAGTCATCCCCTCCCAAGAACCTCAGCTGTAAATAAGAAAATTGCATGAAATATGTGACAAGTATTTTTCTTCCCTATGGTAATGGCAATAAATTATCATTTTTACAGCAAGAGATAGGTAGTTGCTGGCTATAAAATCTGGTAGAATTTAGAGCAATCCAGCCAATATTGCTTAATTTCCTCCTCCCTCTAGCAGGGGTATGCATGTCAAACCCAGTAAATGCTGACCTTAGAGCCTGCTTCAACTTTCCAACTGATCCCATCTGGTTCTTAAGAAGCCAGAGCCCCTTTAGTCTCAACTGATCAAACTCATGGGCACAAATAGAGAAAAGATTCATTTTACTTAAGTATCTAAATTTGGTTTTAAGTATTTATTTTTTTCATTGAAAGACTCAAGAAAAGGATTCTGAGAATAAAAACAACTTATCCACTTTATCCTGCTGTACATCATGATCTAAAGCCACCACTGTCCCTCCTTGTGTACCTTGACTCTCTAATATGTTTAAAAAACATTATAGAAGGTATTCAGCTCAATTACATCTGTAACACTGCTACTTATTAGTAACATGAAACCCATAAAATAGGCTTAATTTTATCGATGGAGGAACTTATATCTACTGGTCTTGGCTTTTGGATCCTAGAGGGTCCACTAGTATTGCTCAGCTAGCTACTGCTGACGAGTCACCAAGAGCCAGAAGGGAAGAATACCATAGCACCATTATAGCAGGTCCAGGCGCACTCCTCTGTACACTTCCAAGGAAACTCCAGTGTCCCAAAAGCAGCTCTGCTTCTTATCTGACAAAAAAGAGTCCTTTAGCAATCCATCTGCTTATTAATATAATCTTCTCCCCTTAGCCTCTTCTGCACTGTAAGAGGACTGTAAGTCATTTGAGACTTGTTACACTACAAAGCAATAACCTAATTTGATTTGAAAAACAAAACCATTGCAAACTGGCCTCACCATACTCTGCCTGCTTCCTGAGGGGCAAACCTACCTCTTTTTGCAAAGCATCATCAGATTGTTGAAGAAGCTGAACAGCTGCTTCACTTTCAAATGTCTTCCTAGGGAATGGTGTCATCTCCGTGAGAGATGACAACCTCTCTAGAGAGTGTTCAGTGGCAGAGTGGAATTCAGAGCTGTTCTTACTCAGAAGGCTTCCCCTCTTCCCAGACTCTCCTTTCTTCTCAACAATGTCTTCCTGGTTATCTCCATCATCACCTGTGGAATAGTTGAAGCTGTTTTCACCTGCCACCATCGGGCCCCAGTCAGCATAATCCATGCTCTCCTTCTGCTCATGTTTGATGCCCATCTGAAAGGGGTCCTGTTCCAGCTCCTTATAGTCATCAATGTATTCAGGTATCTCCTCAAGGCTGGGATCTTTGCCAAGCAGAGACAGCTCCTTCAGGCTACTCACTTCCTCAGATGGCTCATTCTGGAGTCCCACAGAGTGGACCATGCTTGGGATCACTTGTCCAAATCCCAGGAGTGAGGCTGGCCTCTGAGAAGGCCTCAGCACGAAAGTAAGATAGGATTTTACAGTTTCTATTTTTTTGGGTTCACAGTTCTCTTTGTGTTGGCAGTTCACAATGTAACAGCGTCGTTCAAACATCCAGGACAAGTCACAACCAGAGAGGTCACAACACGCTGCGATGCAGTCCGACACAGACATGGCATGAGGAACTCGCATAATTTTAGTGGTTTCTAAGTTGGGAGATATTACTGCACCTGAGTATGTGGCTCCTTCTCTGCACTGCTCACAACTGGAACCTGAAACAACACCACCAACGTAAGGCACAACACTACAACCAAGCCATAACATAGTTTACTGTGACCAAAAATGGCTTATCACAGGAAACAAGATAAAGACAGGTGGTACCCTACTTAAATAAGCTCATTTCTTTTCACAAACATCACCACTACTCCACTACTTTCCCCCCCCACCCCCCAACATGTCCCTTTGCAGGAGCATTTGTACTTCGGAGATTTTTCAGTGTAGGATCTTCATATGTTTTGCAAATTACTTTTCATTCCCTTCCTACAAATACATAAGAAATGAAAGTGAGTTGCCAACACTTAAAACCAGGAACAGAGCAAGGAACACATAAAAAATAATCATGGAGTACCTCCATTACCATTACCATAGCATAGTGAGCAAAACATGTTTTAAAACAAAAATCAAATAAAATGCTCTAGCATGTCATTGTTTCATTTGAGGGAGAAGGCAGCAAAAAATCTACATAGGAGAAATATTTGCTATCTCACTTGAACTTCATGAAGAGTCACTCATACCAATGTAATTGCTGAACTTAATATAAAAACTAGGTAAGTTCTCCAACTTCTGCCACTTTACCCACTAGTTCATGCGAAATCACAAGAGCTCGCTCCGGTATTGAGCATCTTTCCTTCCTTTGCAGCAAAGTACTTTTAGTATGTCATCAGAATTATTTTTAAGCACATCACAGACTGTGAAGTGTTCAAATCAAGCATGAATCAACACACTGTGTATCCCAGTCAATTGTTAACAACTTTCCTAGGTGGTTTTTTTTTTTCCTGGTTATAACTGCTCTTTAGAATTCCTCTCTCCAAAATGCAACTTGAAGAAAATCTGATCATGCTTCAAAAATCAGCCAAGTGAAACCAGGACATTCTTCTTAACATGTTTTAAAACTAGACTTGCTAACTCAACCAATGAAAACAAGATGTCACCACTGTGGAGCTAACACAGTAATGGAAGACAAATTTGACTCTGCCTGCTCTGCACATCATTAACAGTTAAGTTCTGGCAGTAGAAGCCTCATTATTCACAACAGTATATGACAGGAGAAAAAGAAAAGGCAGCGTGACTGATGGATTCCAGCTCAAATCTGTTGAACTGATGGACAGGAAAAACAAAATCAGTGAGTAGGAACAGGCTGGCAATAGGCGTTAGGTCTGATCATGACCTAACCTATCTATCAGGCCTTGTTGATGCAGAGACTCTCTTGTGCATGCACTGTGTCCAACCACCGTGCTACAGTCCCCACCACATCTTCTGGGCTAAACTGCAGTACACTCCTCCACAATACGTGGTCTGAATACAGCTACTGAAATACCTGTCAGGCATCATAGTGCCTGGGATCAATGTACAGCTTGCAAAATAGATTAACTTCAATTCAAAAAGGAAAAAAAACCACCAACCAAACAAAAAGTTTACAAGAATAGATGCATGGGTGCAGCCATTACATGCCTTCACAGGGAAACACCCAACCACTTCCTATAGAGATGTGGACAATATGAACTAACCTGGCATACTGCATAACTCACTATAGTCTCAGAGACAGTTATCAGACACTACACCATCTTGCCTCTCTGGAAAGACCTGTGTGAATCAGAACACATTACTAGAACATGTAGCCATGGCAGTGTAAGTAAGAAAGAATGCACTGCAAACCCAGGCTAGTGGTCCCACTATGGTTTTAAAGACATGTCTACATCTTAAAGGGTCCTTTGCCCTGGCTTGTGTTTCATGTCTTATATATATGGTAAGAAAAGGGTGTTCGTCTTATTCTTCAAAGTCCAAGACCAGCAGCAGTGAAATACTCGGAAAATTGATGGCTTGTTATGCATCTGGAATTACCCTCTCCCCCATACTAAAGAAAAGGATAGTGGTGATGTCTAGTAGACTCTGGAAGGCCATGTAATCTATGGTTGGGCTGCATGGAGTTCAAAATGGGAGACAAGGCTGCTCAACACCTGTGACTGCAGTTATCTGCCAATCCCATCTTTGCATTTTTGTTGGAGTGGCTAATCACAGAACAAAGCACCACAATACAAACACACAGTAAGAGAAACTGGGAGCCAGCCATGAGAATGTTATTGTATTTGCAGAAATGCACTTCAGTAGCAGTATTAGGAAGGTCTGCCTCAAATGCCAGATTAGAATATGCCTGCTCAAGATGAAAGATACACTGAATTGATTCCACGGTGTTAGATTCCCAATTACAAAGTAAACTCTTCGTCCTGTGCTGGAAAGCAGTGTCTTCTATCTATCATGGCAGGAAGAGGAGCCAATATTTTTTGGATCATAGAATCATAGAATAGTTAGGGTTGGAAAGGACCTTAAATTCATCTAGTTCCAATGCCCCTGCCATGAGCAGGGACACCGCACACTGAACTATGTCGCCCAAGGTTCTGTCCAACCTGGCCTTGAACACCGCCAGGGTTGGAGCATTCACAAGTTCCTTGGGCAACCCATTCCAGTGCCTCACCACCCTCACCGTAAAGAACTTCTTCATTATATCTAATCTAAACTTCCCCTGTTGAAGTTTAAACCCATTACCCCTTGTCTTACCACTACAGTCCCTAATGAAGAGTCCCTCCCCAGTATTCTTGTAGGCCCCCTTCAGATACTGGAAGGCTGCTATGAGGTCTCCACACAGTCTTCTCTTCTCCAGGCTGAATAGCCCCAACTTTCTCAGCCTAGTCTTAAAACTTAAAAAACTTAGTCTTAAAACTATTGCTTTTTATTAATGGCTATAACAATTTAAATCTGTTTCAATTTAAGCTGATTTCATCAATGAGTGGATATAAGCCAGTGAAATGTAACTGAAGTTATAAGGACTGCCTACGTGGAGAAATGACAAGCTGCATCTGCAGGTTTGGGAAGTCTCATCCAAATCGCATGAGATGCTGAGTGGCAGATACATAGTACACACTACCTACTGCCACATCCAGCTCAAGCCTTCCGAGAGGCATAAACTTCAGTCAGTAGTACATATCTGATCCACTGGGTGGTCTGTCTACTGTTCTAGCTTTTTTCTTTTTTCCTTTTTTTCCATTGCATTGGGTTTATGTGGCAAGGTTTTGGAAGTCAGAGGGTGGGAGGAAATGGACCCCAGGGGTGATTCTGTGGAAAGAAACCAGGCACTTCCCCCGTGTCAGACAACCAGTTCCAAGAGGAACTCACGGCTGGCCAAGGCTGAGCCTATCAGTGGCACAGGTAGCATCTTTATGATGACATATTTAAGAAGGTGTAAAAAACACTGCACAACAGCAAAAGGCAGGAGAGAGGAGTGGAACAGGTCTGCATATACAAGGTCAATAAAGAAGGGGGAGGAGATGTTGGCACAGAGATTCCCCTGCAGCCCATGGAAGTCCATGGTGGAGCAGATATGCACCTGCAGCCTGTGGAGGACCCCCCATAGCAGGTGAATAAGCCCTGAAGAAAGCTGTGACCCTGCAGAGAGCCCCTGCTGAAGCAGCCTCCTGGCAGGAACTGCAGCTCTGTGGAAAGGAGCCCACACAGAATCAAACGAAGAGTGTGAGGAGGAATGAGAGGCAGAGATGAAGCATTATGAATTGATTGCAACCTTCATTCCTCATCTTTCTGAGCCGTTCAGGTGAAGGAGTTAAAAGAGCTGGGATTGAAGCTGAGCCTGGGATGAAGGGGGATGTAGGGAGAAGGTATTTCTAGATCTGTTCTTATATTTCATTATCCTACTCTAATTAACTGACAACAAATTAAATAACCTTCCTATGTCTAGTCTGGTTAGCTCTTGATTGTAACTGGCATGTGATCTCCCTGTCCTGATCTCAAACTGTGAGCTTTTAATCGTATTTTTATCTCCTGTCTTGTTGAGAAGGGGCAGTGATAGAGCAACTTGCTGGGCGTCTAGCAGCCAGTCAATGTCAACCCACCATATTCATGAAAAGCAGTCAAACACTATTAGCCAAAAGCCACCACACACAAAATAAAAGACTAAAACAAATAAATATAACCTAAACAGGAGAGAGTAGCCCTGCTCAATTTCTTTTGACAAATCACAGCAGATTCTCTAATATCTTCCTGAATATATTCCCTAATGAGCCTGTTCCTCTATTTTCTGATCACTGCGATATCAAGTCTTTCTTATTTGTCAGCCTTCTCATTATCTTATGTTAAAAGAAGCGGTATGAAAACTTTTTTTTTTTTTAAAAAGAAAAGTAGCCTTTAGAATCACAAACTCGCATGCAGAGAAAAACTGCAGAATGAACATCTAGAGGATTCATGAGCCTAAGCCAATTCACCTTAAAGCTTGTTTTGTTCTCAGGTAAACCAAGAAGGCATAGCAAAATTGCAGCCAAAGAACAAAAACACTTTCTATATGAACATGGAGGATATTCTAGCCTGCTAGCAATTAACAGCATTGTCAAAACCACAAAACTGTGGCATTCTCTACAGCCAAAATTCAGTATTTACTGCACATTACTGCCTTCTATTGAAGTAGCTAGGCTTTTTCCTAAAGATACTGACATGTACCCTACAGCAGGTACTCAGTATCTAACAGAACAGCATTTTATTTATTTACAAAAGGCATACTTATTGTTTACTACAACAACAAAAACCTCAGCTCCATGTTCTCCTCAAAAAGCTTGGCATTATGAGATGCCAGGATGATCTTGAGGTTCACTTCTAACCAGCCATGAGCACAGCTGTAGTTAATACCCATCACCCCTCAGCTGTAGTGAATACGTTCTCCCCCTCATCCAGTATTTCCAAATTCAGTAGTCCATGCAACCCTTAGCACATTAGCAAGGCTCTTCCTCATGAAACATCCAATCTTGTTTATACTACAGGAGATGAAAGCCAGGTAACTGAGCATTATTTTTTTCAATTCTTGCTAATATCAATACTGCCAGTATCTCCACAACCAGATTTCAAACACTCTTTTAAAGAAATACACACCATCCTTGAATATATTGTTCTGTAGCTGCCATGTAAAAACTGCTTGCACCAGAATAAATCTCCATGCGACACAAAAGCAGGACTAAGAATTACTATTTCTCAATCTATCTGATTATGAAAGAAAGTAATTTACCTATCTTTGTGGTTGTAACAGAAAATTACAGGACTTTCCTGGGGGCTTTGAAAGGAAATACGTATCTGCAAAGCAGATGGTGAGGTGAGAGATGTAAACAAATGCATTTATGCTTCTCATAAATCAACCATCCTATATTTCAGAAGAAAAAAAGGTAGCTTAGAACATAAGCAATACATCATTGTTAAGCTGTTGTCTTGCAAGAGAAGGAAGAAAAGCTGAACTCTCCCACTGCTCCTTCTTGCCCCATGCTTCTGCCCTGAAACAGCCCTATTGAAATTGGCTCCAAACAGCTCCCAGCTTCCTTCCTCCATTGCCATCAACTGCCAGTTAAGAAGCTGTTAGCACTGAGGAATCACAAGATGTCCCAGCTCTTGCCTTATTAATATTTCATTCACACCTGCATATACACTCCAGGAGCACTCACTTCACCTGTTCTTTGTGACTCAGACACACAAGAAGTAAAATCTTACCTGTTACTGCCCATAGTAACAGGCAGAGAACACCAAGTCCAAATGCCATGCTGCACCAGGAAGGCAGTGACAACTGCTTTTCCAACCAGCTGTGTAGAAATTATATCATGAAGCACTGCAACAAACAGCACAGGAAAAAATAGGTCAGGTGTGATCATTAATTAGAATGTCAGAGTAAAAGCCAATAGACAGATTAAATGCAGGCTTTATCATTACTTTCCGACTTCTTGATAGATGACAGAGTTTATCAGTCAAGCTGAAGATACAGAACAAACTACCTACCTGGAAATCTCATTCTCTGGAGATGCAGAAATGTCCCTAAAAGATTTGCATGGTTGGGTTCCTGTACCTCAAAACCCTCAGATATTCTGTCTACAGTTATCCAGAATCTGGTTTTGCTCTGACTTCAAACAGAAAATAGCAGGTACTCTTAACTGAGGAATCATGATCAGTATGTCCATGCAGTGTTAAATCAGCTCTTGAGGTAGCCCTCAAGCTATTCTCTCCCAGCTATCAAGGTAATGCAATGAGACACTTCTCCAGAATTCTTAGGTAAACATTCCTTACCAGGACACTGAATTCTCCAAATAAGGCAGCCTAAGCAACCAATAGGTTTACTAACAACAAATATTTTGAAACTGCATTACTCACGCAAGGAAAAACTTAGATTAGCCAAACTCACACCCCCCTCCCACATAAAGGATCCTAAGTAGATGCTTGACCAAAAGACACTTCTGTAAATGAAAACACAGGCAGTAAGGTTTTTTTGGAGAACAGCCCTCCTCAAGGCAGAGCATCCCAGTCAATTCCCCTTGATGTTCATTATGTGACCTGTTAAACAGCTATTAACAGCTGAGTGGATCAACTGATAGCGTAAATGGTTCTCCCACTGAGTTCATTGAAGAGTGTGAATGCCTCCCTGAGCCAGTCAGACCAGCAGGGGGAAGTGAATATGTGGCTCAGCCCAATACAGAGTATAAAAACTGAACAACAGAAGAATTTTGAAGAGAGTGAGGGGCTTAAATTGGCTTCAACTCATGCTTTCCTTCCTAGTGACAGAGGATGCCCAGTGTTACAATGGTGAGCTTATTATAGAGACCAGCAATCGGAATCACATTGGCACTGCAACTGAACCGTATACAGTCACTGCTATATTTTGCCAGGTGTAATGTATATTTCCATTGTGATTTCAGTATATTTTGTATTGCTCTGCTAAACCAGAAATCCCATGTCACATCTCCTGATATTAAACATTACACCCTCCACACATCTAAAGGAACGCGGTCAGAGTACTGGATTCTGACAACTTCTCAAGTCTGTGGTAAAACACTAACTCTGCTCAAGACATAAGCAAAATGATCACAGAACATCACTAAAGCAAGGAAAAGAGAAAATAATAGATTAGATTTAAAAACAAATCATAAGGAAAAAAAGAAAAATAAAAAATAAGGATTTGGGCAAGCTGCAAAACCAGGAAAGACTATTACTAACTTCCCAAAATCCTGGTACCCGATTCAAAACATTACTTGACTTTTGTGACCTTTGTTCTATCCAACATCAATAAAACTCCCCTTCCTGAGACAGCTTTCTTATCTCTGATCAGAAGAAATAACTGTCACCAAAAAAACCCACAAAACACACCACACAACATTACACTGCTTCCAGTACGACACTATTTTGATATCTGCAGTTAGATGTTCTCCCAGGAAGCAGTTCCTGACAGAATACACTGAATAGCTACAGAATAGCCACGCTGCTCTGTAGCAAAAAGGACTAATTTAGTAAGGCTTCACCTTAGAAAGAGCAACAGGTTGTCTGGATGCTTACAAGTACTACTCCTATGATACAAACTCTTCAGCAGCAGGACTTTTTATTACTGTCTTGCATTTCCCCATTGCTCTTCTGATCCTTCCATCAACTATAAAATTGTGGGGTTTATAACAGACAAAAAGCCCCAAAGTTTATTTTTTTAAGCCAAATAGTTCCAAATGTACCACTTAGAATGCAGAATTGTTTCCATAATGAAATGACTAAGCAGTTGGTCAAGCATGACTGTCCCTTGATGAATCTATCCTGGCTCTCAGCTATACAAGCAGTGATCTCCAAATGACTTCTTAAGCCTTTCCAGCTGAACCCACTAGCATACACCTGCCCATGCTGATCATCTGCACATTCATTCTAACACATCACCCAAAGTGATTATTTTTTTAGTGTTTTATTTAAGAACATTCAAATTAAACCAGAGTGTCATACAGAGCATACAGTTTTTATAAACTTCAACATTCTGGAATGTTTCTGTTGCTTTTGAGAATGGGAACAGAGAGACACAGATAGGACAGACAACCTAATATGTATTTCCAACTTATTAACACATATACCCCAAATACCTCACAGCCTGAGAGGGAAGGAAGATTATTATGACAAGACATAATTCCACACACAGCCTTTTCCCTGTTTCTATGGAAATCTGTCTAGATTTGGAAAGGTTGTTAGCAACTAACAAATGCAATGTGCAGAAGAGCTTATTGAACTCAAGGTTTCTGAGTTACTGTGCATTTGCTGTAATCTTCACTCATTCCCAGAAATAGTCAAATGGACCAGATGCCTAAGACAGACTTTCAGTCCTTTAGCCTAAGGAAAAATGCATCAGGTTCAGTATCAGAACATCACAAGGACAGAACTAACACCGATCAGAGGCAGAAAAGTAATTTTGTTTATTTTATAGGCCTTTTTCATGTGCAAGGCAAACCTCACTATTTCACTGCTACTAAAAGGAAAAGCTTTGATCCCCTACATAAGAATTGACTGATGAGTCCACATGACCACTTGTAACAACAATATGAAAAACATTAAGACACCATGTAAATGATCCAGATTTTTGCAGCATTCCTTGTCCTGAGTTCAGAAACACAAGTACTCATAGCAAACAGTTGCGGTTATTTTTCTGTTTGTGTTTTTTTGTGGCAATGGTTGGTTGGGGTTTTTTTTGTTGTTGTGTTTTTTATTTATTTATAAAGAAAATTAATTACCAAAGCTACAAAATGCCAGACTTGGGACTGCATGCACAATCTGTATTGAATCCTTATGGGGCACACAATGTGAGAATACAGTGAATGCACAAAAGCAGCACTGTGTCCTCCCATGCTTCCTTGCAGCTACACATCTATTGATGCTTAATTTCCACATAATAGAAGAGCTCGCATTCACTGCAAAACTAGGTTGCATTTCCTGATGTTAGGATCAAGCTCAGACACAAAGCACATATGGTCACAATTCAGTGCAAAGCTTCTGATCCACAGGTAAGACCATAACTACCAAAACCTGCATGCTTTCTTAAACAGTTATGACAGTAAACACCGCTACAGGGTATGCATGCAATGTTCCTCTTCCCTTCCCTGTGATACTGTACTATTCCCAAGTGTAAGTTTCATCACACAAACCAAGAGACATTAAAATTTATGGTGGCCAGCCATGATATTCCAGCAGTTAAAAGTAACGAAGGCCACAAGATTTTCTAGCTTAATTCCTATGCTTCACTGATATCACAAAGCCCATTATCTTTGTTACAACAGGAGCAGACAGCACTGCTGCTAATGACTTCGGAATTTCTTGGGTCTTAACAGTTCAAGTCTGACTCACACACTTAGCTAGATGAGGAATTGCAGCCTTGAGACATTTATAGGCAGATGGGGTAAAAATATATAGGTGTTATACATATGTGTATATATTACTCTGAAAGCCATGTTTTTCTGTTCCAGCTGGCAGCTTCTGGCGACGCCTTAGCCAACAGGAGAAGGAGGAATTCTAAACTGATCCTTCAGTACAAGCATTTTGACTTTATGATCTTTTAAACATACACAGTCGCTCATCAGGACCACAACATCTTTTGTTAGATAACATAAGAAGTACAACAGCTTTCCAAGGAAAAGGAATTGTCTGTATTGCTCCCCTTCCCATCACCTCAAATCTCACCCTGAATTTTGGTTCACCTGAACTTTAATGTACACTCAAGTGATTTTCTCCCTTGGAGAAAGAAACAGGTCAGCCAAGTAGAATTATACTGCCACATCCTACACCTAATTAGGCCAGGGCTATAACAGTAAAAACATGTACAGACTGAACTACCTGTATCTGGGAATACTTTCAAATGCTACACCAGCAAATACAGCATAAGGCAATATACCAGCGCTCTACAAAAGGTGTAGTAGAATCCCTTCACACTTACAAAATCAGATACAGGAATAAGCAGTGTCATGAAAGCAGCCAGAGAGAGCAATGCCAGACAGCGGAAACCTCCAGGACAGCAAGGGTCCTCAACAGCCACAGCTAGCATTGGTGGACAAGCAGGGGCTTCTCACCTCTTTACCCTTCTGGTCATTAGAACAGCTAGGTAACATGCCAAAAGAAATACTGAAAACAGCATCTGAAACTCAAGCCACAGCTAAAGCAGAATACCCATTTTTGAATGGACAGCATCTCTTATAAAAAGCAGGACAGCTGAGTAAACGAACACGTTAGCAATTTGGAGGTCCTACTCTTAATGAAAGCATCTATACACATACACACACACACACACACATATATATATCTCTTAATGTTTCTACTAAATATAAGACAATCCTTCTGGAAATCCACCTCTCACGAAGAATTCAAATCAGTTTTTTTCATTAGCTCTTGTAGCTGCATTAATACCTGAGCCAGTTAGTTAACAGCTGAGCATTAACATGTACTAATGCTGCAGAAGAAATTAAAACAGAACTTCACGACAGTAGCATTTGTCTCTAAGAACATGTACAGGCACTAGGAGCTGTAACATTAACAGGTACTGCATGAACACATGCATCAGCAAAACAGCCACAGGTTAGGGATCTAAATAAAGGGGACAATTTTCAGGCCCTTGAGCAGATATGGAAAATATCACAGAGTCATCAGTGCTTATGATCTGTGCAAAGTCACCTTCCTCTCACAATTTTCTAACAATAGGTACCTATACTTGAAAACAAAACTATGACTACTGATGGAAAGTTATTGTAGCTACAGGATACAGCT